GCCGCACACCATTAAGTCCCAGCTGTCGGCGTTGGCCTACTGGTCAAAAGCGCAGGGTCTTTCGGATCCCACTAACAATTTCCGCCTACATAAAATCATTGCGGGTTGGGCACGTCAACGGGGACCATCCCTTGATAAAAGGGAGCCCTTGTCGCCCACAATTTTAAAGGGATTAAGGGGAACATGGCCCAGAGTATGTAGGTCGGAGTATGAGCAGCGGTTATTCCACGCGGCAGCATTGACGGCTTTTTTCACTGCTCTTAGGATAAGCGAGTTACTGGCCATGTCAAAGGGTGATGTCTCTCTGCGGGCATTGCTGTTGCCAGATATAAAGCTAGCGCATGACACCCTCCAAATTTTAGTACGTTCGTCCAAGACGGACCAGCAAGCCAAGGGCGCTGTGATTACATTGGCCAGATGCAGTGACCCTGAGCTTTGCCCTGTTTCGGCTATGGCACAGTTCATTCAAGTTAGGGCTCAGGCGGGGAGATATTTGTTTTGCCATCAGGGTTCCACCCCCCTTACTAAATACCAGTTTTGGGCCATCACTGATAGGGCGCTGAAGATGCTGGGGTTGGGTTCTCACAAATTTGGCACTCACTCTTTCCGAATTGGAGCGGCATCTTCGGCAGCTCACTTGGGTTATAATGAGGAGGCCATTAAATCAATTGGCAGGTGGAGATTAGGCGCTTATAGGCGATATGTTCGCTCGGTACTTGTTTGAGTTTGTTGTTTATCTTTCAGAAACTGCCAGGCTGGCGCATAGATGGAGAATCCTTGTTTGTGGGCATAGTTATGTCCACTGGGCGGAGAGATACGCCAGGAACTCGTCCTTTGGCCAGCATCTGGGTTGCGCTTCCACTGCATTGGTCGAGTGGAAGGGTGTTCGGGGCCTTCGTTGGGACGGTTTAGTTCCCTTGTTGTTCCAGGACAGGAGCAGGCCCACTCCTGATGTTTTGGTGCTCCATATTGGAGGTAATGATCTTGGCCTGCTTAACGGCAGGGCCTTGTATCTACAGGCTCGTGCTGACATTTTGAAGATCTGGCAGGCATGGCCCCGGGTTCACATCGCTTGGTCGGCCATCATTCCACGCCTTCGGTGGCCAGGAGGCGGTGACGTCAGGAAGCTAGAGAAGGCCAGAAAGCGTGTGAACCGGGCCATGCGCACGGCTTTAGCACGGGGCAGAGGATCTTACATTCCACATAAGGACATCACGCATGACAAAACACAGTTTTATCGTTCTGATGGTGTACATTTAACAGATTTGGGTAACGCACAATTTTTAGCTGATTTGCAGTTAGGCATTCAG